AAAATGAATAGTCCATCTTTATGAGCCACCTTATTAAGATCAACTTGAATAAAACCTAACTCATCAATTCAAAAGCCATTTTTATTGTCAACCTATGTGCAACAAAAGATAAGTTCATGAAACTTGATATAATCCAATTCCTAAATGTTCTCTATAATCCTAAAATATGATATCATCACATAGACTGGGTTATCATCTTTAAAACTAGAGACATGCATTAATTAAGCTACAAGCATTACACTACTATTTTGCATAGTGCTTCGAGCATATTAGCTTTTCGTGTAAAATGTAAAGTCATTAATTTCATAACCTATATAAGAAAATACTTCAAATTCGGGACCCCTAACCAAAAACCTCAACCTTTCTGATGGGTGGGAATCATTATAGATGCGAGCTTTAAACCAATATATAAAATGCTAGCTGTGATATGTTGCTAGCTAGGTTTCATTCTTATCCTTAGTCTGACTCTTAACTATTGCCTTGTGTTCTTTGACACATGGCTCAACTTCCTTAGTGTTGTGTAAAACATACAAGTGAACTTGCTCCCATTGTGTCTTGTCTATGCTAATGAGTTTCTTCCCAATGATTACACACTATTCACCTGTGGTGTCCTTTATGTACTTTGACAACCTAACAGAATCCACATCAAAGAGATATCTAGTGCATAATTCAACTACTTCTTCCACAATGTACCTTTCAACAATGCACCCCTTAGGCCGACCTCAAGTTTTTATATATCCTTTTAATACCTTCAAGTAATGGTCTACTGGATACATTAATCTTAAATAAGTGGGGCCATATAATTTTAGCCCTATAATCAAGTGAAATGATAAATGAACCATGATGTTGAAGAATAAAGGTGCAAAATACATTTTGAGCTCGCTTAGAATCTTAGCTATTTCATGTTCTACCTTTGGCAATTTTTCTGGGTCAATTATCTTGCTACAAATTGCCTTAAAGAATAAACAAAAATTGGTAATTGTGGCTCACACCTTCTTTAGCAAAATGGAGTGTATATCTACTGGCAATAAATTTTTCATAATGATATGACAATCATAAGTCTTGAGACCTACTAGTTTAAGGTCTTTCATGGATATGAGGTTACTGATATTCGAAGAATATCCTTCTAGTACTTTAACTTCATGCAAGAATTCACAAAAAGCTAATTTTTTTCTTTCTAGATAGGGTGTGAGCTGCTGGAGGTAAAAAAGTATATTTTCCCTTCCTCTCTAGTGCCAACTCTTCTCTTAACCCCATACTAATTAAATCCATCCTTGCATTAATACTGTCATTACTCTTTCCTAAAATGTGGAGTAACGTACTAACAAGACTGTCATAGACATTCTTTTCGATATGTATTGCGTCTAAGAAATGCCTAACATCTAGGGTCTTTCAGTATGGCAGTTTAAAGAATATGAACTTCTTTATCCAACCATTCTTAACAATCTTACTTGGAAATGATTTTCTAAATTCAATATTTAATTTTTTAACATTTTCAAAGAGATGCTCACCAATTACTGGCAAAGGAACTCTACCCTTCTTCGAATGGCCATTGAAGGCCTTCTTCAACCATCGGTAATGATATGTTTATGGCAAAAATCTATGATAACCAATGAAGACGTTCTTCTTACAATGTTTCAATTGCATTGAACAAGTGTGCTCTTCAAAAACTGGACACATATCTGGCCCTTTGATACTATATCCTGACAAATTTTCATATGTAAGAAAGTCATTTATTGTGCTAAACAAAATTTCATGCAAGATGAAGTATTCTTCTCCATACCTATCATAAACCTTCACACCTGTCTTTCATAATATCTTCAGATCTTCAATCAATGGAGCTAAGTACACATCTATATCATTTCTTCCAGAAATCAATAATGACAAAATCATAAACTAATGCTTCATACATAATGCTGGAGAGAGATTATAGATCATCAAAATTACTACCATGTACTATGAGTATTGCTTTGCATGCCATGAGGGTTCATTTCAACAGTGTCTAATGCAAGGCATAGGTTTCTATTTTTCATCTCAAACTCGGGGTACATGATATAAAACTTTTTCAATTGAGGAGAATTTGTAGGATGCCATGACTTGCCATCTTTAAGTCTATCATCAACATGCCATGTTAAGCTTTTAGCATCTTCTGCAATGCTGTATAAGCATCTAAGTCTTAGTATGATTGAAAAATACCATAATGCCTTTGCTTGGCTACATCTATTTCTCTTATACCATGATGCATCACATTATGAACACTTATCTAAGATTAAATACTCTTTTTGTAAGACACAATCATTTGGACATGCATGTATCTTCTCATAGCCCATCCCAATAGAACATACACTTTTTTGCCTTATAAATATTAGGTGGAATCTCATTGTACTTTAGCAACATCTCATATAAGAGTTCAAGCAAATCCATGAACCTCTTGTCACTCCATCCATTAGCAGCTTTTATGTTGTATAATTTCAGAACAACTGATAGTTTTGTGAATTTCTTACAACTGGGGTACAATAGTTTGTCAGTATCACTCTTCAACCTCTCAAACATCTCAAGATAGTCCCTAAAATCCTCTTCAATCATGTCAATCATTTTGTTAAGGTAGTCAACATCATATGTTCCACTATCATGATCAAATGCTGAGTAGCTAGAACTACCCCTCCAATCACTAGTATTATTCCTTGTCTTCCCATGTATGGTCCAACAAGTATAAGTTGGATCAATCCCATTACATATAAAATGATCTTTCAATTCTATTAGCCTTACTCTTTTTCCATAGAAACATTTTAAACAAGGACATATGAGTCCACGGGGGTCTTGATCACGACAAAATGCAAACTCAATGAACTCATCCACACCATCTCAATATTCTCTAGACAGTTGATTAGCCGACATTCTCTTATGATCTATATCACTAATGTAGTCATAGAAATTTAAGAAACAAAGACTTAGATTTTTTTCCTAAAGGAAGAACCTCCCAAATAATCAAATCATATGACACAATACATGTAAACTAAATAAATCAATTCATCTAAATAATAATTTATTTACATTAATGCATTTATATTGGATCAATCAATTGTAATTTAATAATAATCTCTCTTAAAAGTGAAACATCCAAAAGAAAATAAACACATTTAATAAAGAAAATTAAAAAATTCAAACAGCTCTACAATATTAAACTTCCATTCATCATAATTTATATTATATTCAACTTTAAGCTAATGAAGTTAATAACTTTAAATTCTTCATAATTTCAATGTAAATAATTTGTACCATAGATTATCTATATATTTTTACAACTAAATTATTCTAGAATTTATAAAAAAATTATTATAATATTAATTATTAAAAAAGTACCTTGTACGGACGGACGGATGGTGGCTTCATACACAGCGATAGGCGGTGCGACGGACGAGTAATGGCATAGATCTATGAGCAACTGATGAGATGGACGGTGCGACGTGTAGATTTGTGACTTCAAAACACAAATCTGTGATTTCAACCTTTGAGGATGATGGGGAAGGAATGCAGATAGATGAACAATGATAAAATGAGGATAAATGATGGCAAACTGAACCAATAGGCGAGCTTTGATATCATGCAAACTAGCTTGGATAAACGAATGTCTTTGCAAGAGAGAAAGAGAAAGGAAGAAAAGCAAACAAGTAAAAAAGGGCTAAAACTGGCACTAGAGATGCGGGGGATATGGGTATTAAAAAAAATTTCATGACCTTTCAGAGCTCTCTATAAAAGAGCACTCTAAAAGGTAAACTCTCCAGAGCGCTCTGGAAAGTTCACACTTCAGCCACTCTTATTTTAAGTGCTTTTGAAGTCTTACTCCTTTCGTAAAGGCTTAATTTTTTTTAAAAAAAATTAATCATATTTTTTAGGAGCGCTCTTTGTTTGAGCACTCTGAAATACTTAACATACCAGAGCGTTTAAAAAAAGTGCTCCAATAAGTTTTGCCTAAACTTTTTAGAACTTTTTTTTCCTTGAGCTCTCCGAAAGACCCGCTCTTGTATATATATTTTGTAGTAGTGAAAGCTTTATGTGCCATGATAATGTTACCTTGAATCACTCTCTCCTCAACAAAAACATACTGATTTTGAGAAATCAATGTTGGCATAACACTGCTGTTCATTCTATTTGTCATTACTTTAACGATCATTTTATAACAAAAATTACACAGGTTGATAGGTCTATATTGCCCAACATTTTTAGGCTTATCAACTTTTGGTATCTTAATCAAATATGTCTTATTAATATCTTGTAGATCCACACCTTCCTCTGAATACTTCCTCACAACTTCAAATATCATATTAATTACCCACTTCGTCCCAATAAAATTAATAAAACTAACCTGAAAAACCATTAGGTCCAAGCGCCTTCCATCAATCAAGTTGGAAACATGCCAATCTCACTTCTGCCCTACTCACTTTCTGCCTTAACAAAAGATTATCATTATCATCAACACATTTATCCACATAACTGAGAGTTAGACTCATATCCCTCTGCTTGGAACTACTAAAAAGATTCTCATAAAATTTTGCAAATTCAGAAGCAATCACATATTCATCTTTTAAAATGGATTGGAGACCATTATATACAAGAGCTTTTTCAAAAAAAAATAAATAAAATTTTTTGTGCATTCAACCTTGGGGAAAAGTTATAAATTTCATAAAGTTATATGTTGTTTTCACAACGTCATTTTAGGTGATTTATGAATTCAATTTTGTTACATTGTATACTTAAAATCGTAAGTTCCGCAATTAAATAATGCACATCTACTTTCTTTTACATAGATGTGTGTGTATGCTTACCCCAAATAAATAAATCATTTAAGCATAGAAGCTCTAGTGTTAGTGAAAAGTAATAATAATTAATAATGATTGATAATGATGATCATGTTAAAATAATTTTAATTATTTACATTCTAATTTTCTATCCACTTGTATATGTATGCATGCATGTCAATAATCACAATCCTTCCACAGAAGAGCAACCAATGCTGAAAAAGAGGCGGTTGATGGAGGGTAATCATATTATTTCAGTAAGTTCTTATAATTTTTCTTGAATTTGAATATTTTTAATCACTTTATATAGCCTTTACCTTCCATATTAATTAATTAACTACATTTCAATTTATGATATTTTACATTCAGGATTCCGTCAATGTTGACCAAGGTGATGCTCTAGTCCTCTTTATTTTTCTAAAAATATCATTACAAGTAGGACGCATCCAACTTTCCAAAAATATAATTTAATGGAATAATCATGTCCATCATTTTATTTCAAGTAAATTTCTTAATTCTTACAGTGTTGACCAAATTCTAGAATGCCGTGAATGCAGATGTGTATATCCCAATATATCTTTTACGTACATTTGAAAACAATGATATTTAGTTCACATATTTAACAAAAACAGGACAAGAACCCACTATTTCATGTAAGGAGGATCTCCATGGCAACCTTCTACAGCTACAGGTAATTAAGCTAATTTGTTTTGGATTTTGAGACATTTATTAGATTTTGGTGGATTAGTCTATAAGTCTTCTGGAGTTTTCACAAATATTGTGTAGGAAGTTGAATACGAAAGCAAAACACAAATAATAGACATTCAACCTCCAAGTAGAGCAAATGAAGAATTGGTTCAAATAAGGAAGCCAGATATGAATATGATGCAACAAGAAGATGAAGCTTCAACCGATGATCAAATCACAAAGAGCTTTGAAAATGTCATAAATGGCAAAGGAGAAGACATCGTAGTTTACAAAGATGATCCCATTAATAACAACAATATAACAGAGGTATATGTTGTAACTAATTTTATATCATTTTGAAGATTAATTAGGAAATTTCTTCACAGGTATTTTGTTAGATGAGGAACATATACATTTACATTAAAAATTATATAACTTGTTTTCTGGTTGAAATTGAATCATGCCATTTCTATTATATATAAAAAATGATGTTTTCAACAATGGAAGAACACATATAATCTGTCCCAAGCATTAAGCAATATGATGTTTTCACCATTGCCAGTATTTTTTGGTCATTTTCCCTTCTTTGATGTGTATGTTTCACTGTTTTTTTAGGGGGGAGATTTAGAGATAAATAAATAAATTGCGGGTGTTTGATAAAAAACATACATGCATACACATAAATATAGGGAAATATTCATAATATGTGAATGGCAGAGTTTCAATTGTGAAATGCTACTAGTTGATTAACTTTTTTCCCCCTTGTTGCATGATCAGATGACTGGAAAAGATTACATATATGACTCAAATGGCAACATGACGTGGGATCCAATGGAATGGGAAGAATATGAAGCAACAAGTAATGATCATATTAATAACAATAAGGATCAACGTGAGCAGAGAAGATATCATCCATGGTTTTTGTGTTTTAATCTCTTCACTTTCGTTGCCTCGCTCTGTTCTTCTTCTTAATCGGATCTTTCTCCATTGCAAGACGCTGGAATGAATTATCATTGGAGTCTTTAATTTGAACTCTTTTGTTAGCTATAAATTCTAGACTTTCGAATTTTTTGTAATGGTTTTGGTTTACTCATATTTTGATGGAAACTTAATTCAGATTTGGATCATTTGAATTCACTGCAAATTGTTTGATGCATAATTCTTGTCCATATAATTTGCATACAATTTTCTCTTCCAGACTTGTTCAGTGTGTAAGATCCCCACACAAATTTAATTGATGATTACATTAATATAATATATATTATTATATATTTATAATTAATCTGTTAATGATAAATTAATGGTAAGAGAGTGGACTGGCAAATAACATCCATGCAATGTTTCAGAGCATTTCTTAAAGTTTATCATTATAATTCATATTCAAATCAGAATACACACAAGCTTCTTTTTTTTTTTGTGTGGGCTCGGGTCACCCAAGCTTCATTTTACAGTCAAGTTGGACCATCTTCGAGGAGTCCATCAACCAGGTGACATCGGGCTAAAACCTATTGTTTTATATTTTAATTTGAAATACATATAATGTGGTAATGAGTCTCTATTTTCAAATATTTTATGATTAAATTGATATTTTAAATAAAGAAACATTAATCTTTTAGTCCTTTAATTTTTAACTCACTTGTAACTCAATCCCTCTACTATGACTTGCTGCAACTCAGTCCCTCAACTATAACTTACTGCAACTCAAACCCTCAACTTTTGATTTACCTATAATTTCGTCCTCATTTTTTAATTTTTTTTAAAAAAATTTATCAAATAAGAGGGATAAAAAAATGCTCATATATTATTTTAAAAAACTCTCTTCTTATTCATTAATATGAGATATAAGCTAACATGAAAAAAAATTAACAAAGGTTAAGGGACTAATTTGTAAGTGATTCAAAAATTGAGGGATTGAGTCATAAACGAGTTATAGTTGAGGGACTGAGTCACAACAAATCATAATTGAGGGATTGAGTTACAAGTGACTTAAAAGTTGAAAGACTAAAAGATTAATTTTCTCTTTAAATAATAACACTACTTGTTTATAATAATTAGACATGTCATAATTAAATTTATTTATCCACAGAATGCTATTTCATCAAATATAATTTTTCAATTCAAATTCTACATTTAATACTGGTAACTTTGAAGTTTAATGTTGGTTTAAATGTTTTCAATTTGATAGCTAATGATAGGTAAGAGAAAGATGAAAAGAAGAGAAATGAAATATTATAAAATTCTACTTTTTATTTTTTACAATATATGAAACATATTTATATATGTGATGCTATATAATTTTATTGTTTGATGCTATCTTGCAACATAAATATAAAAAATTAGATAATATAGTGTATAATTTCTTATAATATTAAAATTTAAAAATGAAAACTGATTAAAAAAGTAACATGTAATGTAAAAACAAGCCAATTACATTACTTAAGAGTTATTATTAATTAAAATTAAAAATAAAATTTTAATTAAAACTTTTCAAAAAATAATTGTGATCTAATGTATAATCATCTATATTTTGATTATTTATTCTTAGATATATTTATATTATAATTATAAATATGAATATTAAAATAAATAATACAATAACTTTGAGAAGTAAAAAAATTAAAATAAATAATATAAATGATATTCTATCAATTATATTCAGAGTTTACTTTAGACAAAATAAATAATATAATTTTTAATTTTAATAAATTAAAAGAATTAAATTGAAATATTTAATGATAATAATAATATTTTATAATATTTAATATTTAAAATATATGTGTGTTTGTTTAGTTTAATAATATATATTTAATTATATAATAATAGGTTGCAAGTTCATTCCAACTCAGTGACAAAATAAGTAGGACACAAAAAAAGGATGTCATGAGTTTGAGTCATGAAGGAAGTAATTTGTGAAATGAAAATATAAATATGTGATATAACAACACGTGATGTGAGGTAGGGGCAACACATTGTTGTGATGTAGGGCCACATGAAAGGTGATGTGGCACGACATGGAGGTGGTAATGAGAGTGGAAATAGGAAGGTGACATCGCACCATGTGGTTAAATAAACTAAAATCACTTTTCAGCCTCAACATTTTGCGGCAACTAAATAGTTGCCATTGATGCGTGGTTTCTATAGTGACAAATTTTCTACCATCGATTGAATTTTTTTAGTGATAACTTTTATTATCATCGCAGATAAAATCAACTACAAAAACTTTTGTGGCAATATTGCGGTGACTTTTTTTTATCGTTGCTAAAAGTTAATTTTTTTATAGTAATTTAGGAGATTATTTTGGATAGAATAATATAGGCAAACTTGGAAGATCAAGTGAAGAATTAAATTTTAGAAACTTTATTTATATTTATTTTAGGTTTTTAATATAATTTTCAATTAAGGATATTTTTTTCATTTTATTAAATTATTAGGTTTTATTTATGTTGAGCGGCACGCGCAAATCACACCGAATTGAATTGAAAAGGGACGGGCGACTTTTAAATTAGAAGGAACGGAGCCAGTAGATGTGTGTGACACTTACTTTTGTTTTTCCTTTCCGTGATTTACGAGTTTTAAGGTATGGAAAATTAATTTTCTTGATGTGATTAAATTAGAGCCTTTGATATTTATGAAAATATTTTATTTATGTTTAAAGTGTCTTTTTACTTCAAAATTATTTTTGAAGAGCTTTGAATACCTATATTGATAAGTGAGGTAATTTTGCCCTTAAATTATTTTTTTAAAAAAATAAAAATCTTTCTGTTAGTTAACCATTAACTTTTTCATTTTTTGCTAATATGGCATATACATGGACCCACACATGGTGACATCTTGATAGGTAAGACTTTAATTATATCCTTTAGTGTTAATCTGTCCCTCAATTATTTTTTTAGGAGCATTGGGTAACTTGGAGTCTTGTTAAATTAAAATTTAATAAATATTGTGAAAATATTAAATATTTTAATATTTAATAATTTGAATATTATTATTTATGAATTTATTCATAAAAAATTTATAAATTATTTTTTAAATATTAATAAATTTAACTATTTTTTCAAAAATTTATAGATAACATGTAATATTTTATATATCGATCATATCCTTAATATTAATTGAGTTTCTTAAATTTTTTAGGTTATTCTCTGTAATCTTTTTATTAATTAACAATCTTCCTTTAAAATATTATACCACCCAATTTAATATTTTAATATTTTTGATATTTTGTAATTTAGTATTAAAAACAAAGGAATAAACCTTCAAATTAATGAAGGGGGTTTTTTCCTCATATCTCTCCATGATTCTCTTGTTAAAAAACTTTTTTGTAGCACGTCAATGAAATATGTGATATCTTGCAAATAAGCATTTTTGTTAGCATATTGTTGGTACTGATCTATCATGTTTATAATTTATCCCTAAGGCTGTAACATATAGAAAGTATTAAGTTTGGTGGTGTAATATTTTAGAAGAAGATTGTTACTTGAACAAAAAATTATAAAAAATGACATAAAAATTTAATGACTTAACTAATATTAAAAATATGGATAAGTTTTAACTTGCATGAAAGGCATAACAATCTGGGCACTGTCTTGGAGAGAGGCTCAAAAATCAATATATAAACAAATAACATGCCATCCATAAATTTATGAAAAAACTAGTTTGAACTATTAATATATGAAAAAATAATTTATAAATTTTGGATGAATATTTATAAATAATAATATTTAAATTATTAAATATGAAAATATTTAATATTTTAGTAATATTTATTAAATTTTATTTTAACAACACTTCAGGGTGCCTGACATTCTTAGAAAAAGACTTTAGAGTGCTTAAAGCTTCTGAAAAAAGAATTGAAGGGCAAATTAGCACCATAAGATATGGTTAGAATCTTATTTGTCATTATGTATAGGCTTCATGCATATGCCACTTCAGAAGAAAATGGCAAAGTTAAATGTTGTTTAACAGAAGGGATTTTTTGCTCCTTCAAAAAATAATTCAAGTGTAAAATTGTCTATTTATTAGTACAAGATATGCAGCGTTCGCAAAAAATTTAGGATAAAAATACATCTTAATCCTTATATAATATAATTGAAAGGAAATGAAAAAAAAATGATCGGACAAATATAAAAGAGCGAGTACACATCAAAAGTATTAATTATTCTTTACCAAAAAAGTATTAATTATTAACAAATAACTGCGTGATTAATATCAAAGATTCAATTCACTTGCATATTAATTATTAACAATTTAACACATCAAAAGTTTTTGGCAAAAAAGGGAAAAAAACTTTAAATATATTCCATAAATATATGCGTAAGATATATCTGAAGGAAAAAAAATTAGAAAATAAATCCATTGTAGTAAATAAGCTTGATACAATAGGCCAATAGCACATTTCTTATGTTACATGCAGAGCTAATAAATGGGTAAGCCTAACTTATATGGGTTCAAGCCCAAAAACTGGATTATTTTTAAATCCATCCGAGGTAAATGAGCTTGAAACTACAAAGCATGCCTCTCCCCAAATGCTATGAAAGCATGGGCAGTGTTCTTTAAACAATAGTCTCACTCCTTGATATAAAAGAGAGGGACGATTTAAAACATTTAATTTTTGTTCTAATTCAGTGATTTTTAAATTATTAAGATACTTGAAGTCAAAGATTGATTTTTGTGAAAGAAAGAAGAAACCATGACACTCTTTGATAGCAAACTATGGTTGTACATCCACATCAATTTTTTGTGAGAAATCTAACATGGCCAATAAAATAGAGTAAAACTTCAAAGTAATTAGAAAATGGCAGTTGGAATACAAGATTATGTATGCTAATTAAGCATGTAACTGTTAATGTCATGAATAAGTTTTGCAAATATTAGAACCTTTTTTTATAGTAATGCCAAGGCTTGAAATTTATGCCACCCATGTTACATATTCATTATTTTTATGTCAAGATTAATATTTGAACCTTAACCTCCTACCTTTCAAGCATCATGCTCTTCTTTTTGCTAATTAATTGAAATACACCCATAATCATTATATGAAAAATTAAATATATTATTTAAATACACACATATATCAAATAATATATTGTAAAAAATACACATGTGTATTAATTTAT